CTCCTGGGATGCGGCGCAGGGTCAACCCTATCGTTGTGACTCTTCGAAAATTTTTTACGACCCCCCCCTTCATGGTTGATTTGATACGACCCCCCCCCTTGTACGTTACACTTGTGTAAAGACAGATTGACCTTAATATTTATTGCTACTCAAGTCAAATCAGCTTCCGAATAATGAGATGCACTCGAAGGTACCCGAAGGGTACCCCGAGGGGTTACTAAACTAAGAGATCGCCAAACTGAATCAGTTGCCTTAACACATTGTGGACCGCCGTTGAATGAAAACTTCGCCAAAAATGAGTCATCTATCAATAAATTTTTTGCCCGCTTGAAGATGTGTGCAAACTGTTCAGAAAGATTGTAAAGACAATAAGTCAGACGAAACCATGCTCTTTCAATCATGCGATGTGATTTCAAATTTGCTGGTTGGCGCCCTTTTGCCTTGCTGACGGTGGAGCGCATCTGCTCAAGGTGAGGAGCCGTCGAACGGGAATGTGAAAAGTTTAGGAGTTTTTTTTGTTTAATTTCAGGTAGTCCGGAAGATATCGGCGGATGTTGGATCAGCGTGGTTCATCCTTCTCAAGGAGTGCCCATTTTTTCTCAAACCCTTCACAATGAAAAAGTTATAAGCCAAAAAATTAGATTGCAAGAGAATTTTTACACTCCTCTTTCTAGGGCTATAACTTCCTTCATGTTCGAGCTTCAGCGCCATAGTGATTTGATTTAAAAAATTCAAATTATTCTCTAGCCAATCATGGGTATAAATTCTTCGAAAGTTAATTTATTAAAAATTTTGGACGTTGTGACTTTCTCTGGTGCAAACCGACTTTTTTGCTTTCAAACGATCATAACTTCCTTCAAAGTCATTCATTTAGGAAGCTGAACGCGATATAACACACTCCAGGATTCAAGCTTTCTAACGAGTACCCAAACGTTCCTGCAAAATCAGTAGTTCAAAATTTAGTCCCGTTGTAACCATTATAAAGGGCTGGTGTAACCATTTCTTTGAAAACGCGACTTTTTTACCTTCAAACGATCATAACTTCCTTCAAAGTCATTCATTTAGGAAGCTGAACGCGATATAACACACTCCAGGATTCAAGCTTTCTAACGAGTACCCAAGCGTTCCTGAAAAATCAGTAGTTCAAAATTTAGTCCCGTTGTAACTCAAATTTGAGGGGTATTTTTTGAGCCACTTTCTCGAAAGCGCGAGTTTTCTTAAGTTCCACTGCCCGTAACATCTCGCAAGACCAATTTCATGTTTAATTTAGGATGTGCTAGAATGCTCCGAGCATGCGCTTGCACTACATCCCTTCCCTTGGTGCGCGCCACGCCTCGGGCGCCCTTCTAATTCGCTGATTCATTTGAAAGCTCATTCAGAGGGAAGCGTGGTTTACAGATGCTCTAGTATCAGTAATCTTGCGCAAACGTATCGTGCCGGCTATCATGCTGGTCTCTAAAGGCATTAGTTTCATATGTGGTCTCGTGGCTGTCACAATGCGAGTACTTTTTTCAGGATGCTGCAATCTTCCACTTCATGACTGCGTCCTTGCAGGGAGAAGGCTTTGCATAATTGCTATAACTATTCACAAACACTTTCTTTGCTGCGTTTGCTCTTCTCCTTCGTACCACTATCCATACTCAGTAGGACATCACCAAGAATTTTCAGTGCCGGCCACCAAAAAATTACGACCCCCCCCTCCAAGCTCAATTCAGTACGACCCCCCCGTTGTGACTCGTCACAACGTAGGGTTGACCCTGTTCCGAGGCCGAAGGAAATGCAGCTCCGGAAGGGAGTATTATTCCCGGCGAAAGATACATATGTTAAAATGGAAATTGTTTAGGTTTGAGTAAAAACATAAAATATTAGAATTTTTTAGGAGGGAATAATCAAACAAAGCGCCCGAGTCGTCGTCGTATCCACAAGTCACGGGCCGATGCGCTTCACTGCACTGCTTCCTCGCATTGCTTTGGTTCACGGAATGGTTCAGTAGTTTCACGCTGCAAAAACTGTCCTGACATATACCTGCTACGCTCGAATTTCCGATAAGCATGAACCTGGAGAAATTTGGAGTCACGTCAACGGCTTGACGACGCATTGGGGTGATTGCTTCCCCATTTTAGCGTTCATACTTGATCGTGGGTGAGGAGTGGAGACCAAGTGATGTGGAGCATTACTGTTGACTTCGCGGGACTAATCTCTTCGGGAGAGAAGGTATCCCCTGGGGTGGGCTTTTGAGCTTTATTGTATGCTCCCTACTCGGTCTGGCATTGGTCTTAGCTATAACCTAACTCATAGGCCCGTTATGAATGTGAATCCCCTTCCCTTAAGACACATGAGCGACCTTTAGATACAGTCACCAATTTGGCCAAAGGAAGAAATTTATTTCGTGTAAACTACTTTCCTTGTGGTTAGAACGGGATTGAGCACGAAAATACATATTCGTCGTAGAAAACTGATGGGAGCAATGCAGCGAAGATCGTTCTTGTTTCCTTACTGATGGTCAGTTCTTCGGTTGGTATGTACGAGGATCTCCAATGACCTGGTCTTTCAGCTTATGGTTGTGAACGCTGGCAAAAAAGGTGCACCAACTCCTGCTGCCACCCCTGCTGCCGCTCCGGCCCTGCTCCTGGAGCAACTGGTTGCACCAGGACCTGCAGCTGGCGGCAAGGCAGGATCAAGAGACGTGGTTGAAGAAATCAGGAAAGAAGTACCTAGTGCTCTGTGCCGCAATGCCTCCCCCTCCATCTTAGTAAAACAGAACCGCTGAGCCTTACATCTTCACAACTACAGTCAAAACGAAAGCGAGCATCTATCACCAGCGTTTCCTGAAAAAATACAGTAAGCTTGATAGTGTAATACCGGTTTTGCATGATTTCTCTGTAAAATAAGGTATCTTGTTTATCCATAACTCAGTGATCTCCAGTGATCTCATGACAGGATGTATGAGTTGTTTACATGGTGATTATATAAAGGCCAGAGAAGGGTAGGTAAGTCATTTTCGCATTGTCATTAAGCAGAAGAAATGCAGCTGAAGATCGTTCTGATTTCCTTACTGATGGTCAGTTCTTCGGTTGGTACGAGGATCTCCAATGAAACTTGGTCTTTCAGATTATGGTTGTGAACGCTGGCAAACAAGGTCCTGCACCAGCTCCTGCTGCCACCCCTGCTGCCGCTCCGGCCCCTGCTCCTGCACCAGGACCTGCACCTGCCGGCAAGGGAGGGTCAAGAGACATGGTTGAAGAACAGAGGAAAGAAGTACCTATTCCAGACGCATCGCTCAGCGTGAGTGAATGGCGGAGCCACACGGGCGCTCTTGTCGTTGGGGGGGGGGGGAGAGAGGGAGAAGTAAACTTATAGCACTTGGGGCTAAGCTTCTTGAGGGAGAGGGACTCTGGGGGACTATGGGAGCAGATTGTGTTCTCTCTCGCGTTTTTTCTTCTTCTTATCGGGGGGGGGGAGGGGTGGGGGGTCGGTCCTTGCGTCACCTACCATAGGCTCTGTTTTGAACGTCTTCAACCCATCTTCCACCCCCCCTCCCCCCAAGGACATGAGCGCCCCGACATGATGTCGAAATCTGCTCTAGCAGTTCACGAATTTCAGGCAGATGTCGCTCCAGTAAACGTTCAATCACTTAATGTAGTGCAATTTCATGACAACGACGGTTCCTTCACGACAATTTACCCCATGAAATGTGGATCGAAAGTAAAGGCGCTGTATCAAGTAGAAGGCATGGCCAGGTACGTCCACGCCACCAGAGACATCACCCCTTTCACCAGTTACTCACATCTGACATGGTAAACTCTTTAGCATCTGAAAAGTCGAAGTCCATCCAAGCCACATCATAAGCTGAATGAACGGTAGTGTGATGGGCATCAGACCTCATCAGCGTTCTATTCGAAATCGCACTGCGTCAAGCGTTAGGAAGCCCTCAGAGGTGTGACCGTACACGTGATCGGGCGTCTCGGCGATTAGCCAAGAAAGTGACTAGGCTAGAGGCGATTGGACGAATAGGCGAGAGGAGGACTAGTGGCGACTAGAAAGGATAATTGATTTGTTTGCTCCGATGAGCGACGCGAAAACTCGCAATGTCTCCTAACAAGCCTATTGTGTGCGGTAAGTGTCAGAGTTCGCAATAACGCATGCGGTTAGGCGATTAAGCGATTAGGCGGTGATTCAAAAAGAAGGTGCACGTATCGATCATATCCTTCTCGCATCGCCTACTCGCCTGATTGACTAACCGCACTACGATCGCCAACTCTGAACACTCCTAGCGATTAGGGCACTAGCGACAGGCGGGTAGCAGGGCAAGAAAAGGGTGCATATCGATTTTTCTCCGCCCATTGAGGATCGCTCACCTACTCGCCTACTCTCCCAATCGCCTAATCGATGTGTATCCCTTTCATTATAAACTAATCGCATGTGCGATCGAAAACCTTAAACGCCTCCTTACCGTGAGCCATTAGGTCAACGTGTCCCACTAGATCAGTTTTCCACCGACTATTCCAGTAGTTCTTTCTGTTAGCAGTTGTCGGGCGGTTCCTACTAGCACTTCCTTATCAGTGTGCGGGAAGATAGACAGACCGACAAATGAAGTGGTTCGCATCATGAAGGGGTGAACAGTGATAATATTGTGATATCATGGAAGCATTTGATAACTTCTCAACATGAAATCATCCATTCTATGAAGCTATGAAAGCCCTGTGCAGAGATTTACATGGTTGAGGTGACATTTTCAATATTCGGAAGATTATATCCGAGTCGGAGCAGGCTCGCCGGCACGCGATTTCTCAAATAACGGTGCTCATGCCGTCAGGGAGGGGATGGGGTGGGCATTCAAGTGAATAAGCCAGTTACAGTATCTGGGACTAAGCCTGGGGAGGAAAGGTTTCTGGAAGAAGCCCTGGTTGCTCAAGGCTTCAATAACCGCTTCCTGTCTCCACAGAGTCGAAGGCCTTCTTCAAGTCGATGAACGTGAGACAAGCGGCATCTGGGCGCTCATGTCCTTGGGGGGGGGGGACATCAACAACAAGGCCGATGGTAGGTGACACTAGGACTAAGCCCAGGAGAGGGGAGAAACGCCAGGGAGCACACATATTGCTTGCATCTTCCCACAAATCCCTTCCCTGCCTAAGGCTTAGTCCCAAGTACAGTAATTGGCTCACTCACTGGGATGTCCCCCCTCCCAAGGACATGAGCCCGGCATCTTGTACTCTCGTGAAACTTCAATGAGTCTTGTAACCGTGTGGATATGGTCGATCGTGCTGAACCCTCTTCGAAACCCTGCTTGCTCGCATGGCTGTCCTTCATCCAGTATTCTGCCGATCCTGTTATGACTCGAGTGAATAGCTTGTAGATTACAGACAGCAGGCAGATTGTGCGATAGTTTCGACGGGTGGGAACCTTGCATTCCGACAGGTAACGCGTGAAGAGTCGAGCCAGAGTTTTGATGATAACTGGCGGTGCATTCTTCAGATGTTCCGGTTTAACCCTGTCGAGACCGGGTGCTGTACAATTCTTCACCGACTTGATGGCGTGTCGGACTTCGGAAGAGAGAACTGAGGGGACGACGTATCCATCCTCTTGCAGTTGATAAGTAGGCAGATGGACATGGCTATCGAAGAGATCCGAGAAGTCGTGGATGACTTTCTCCATTGCCCTTCGGGATGCAGTAACTGTTCCATCCGGACGTCGGAGGCAGGTCATCTTGGTCTTGTAGCTGGCAAAGCTTCGGCGGGCATTGCGGATGCTCCTCCCAGCCTCTGCTGCTTCAGCTAATACTGCTGCTCTTCGCTCCTTGAGATCTTCCTTTATCGCCTCTCTGCA